TATATATATATATATATATATATATATACATACATATATATATTTATATATATTCGCTTCCGTTTTTGTCAATAATTCAAAGTATTTTAACCGTCTGTAGTGTCTCTATTGGCTTCGTATTTGATTATGACGCTTTCCCGCAGCGGGAGCTTTTCGTCTATCTACCGCTAACGATCGTTGTGCCGCTTACGAAGTGTTCAAGCTGGCGATACTATAAATTTGATCGTGTCTACACACGATTGTTGTACGTACGTGTCGCCTTGAGAGTTTCCAATGTTTTTTCTCGTTTTTGCGCTGGCAATGCTTTCCTCGTCGCGCCGTCGTAATCCCACGAAGGGAGATTCGCACGGTTCGCGCGAACCACGTCTCGGTCTTGAGGGTAAATCACACTCGAGTTATTCCATTTCGCTTTCTTACGAGTTTATTGGATCGTCGGATCTCCATCGTTCGTCGTCACGATCGTTTCGTGCGTCTCGCTCGTTGTGGCTAGAGAATACACGTACTAGGCGAGTCGTTATCTTCCAGTGCTCTCTGTTTCGTAATACGGACAAGGCATAACACGGCTACGTAGGTAGATCTCGGACTATATTCGGGGTACGGTTAGACTCGGCAAAAAGACGGACAAAGAGAGAAAGAGATCAAGAGATTAGGGAAGTTGTTTTAAGCGTTTTACACACGTAGAGCGGCTAGCTCTCGCGACAGACCCCGTTTGATCGGTTGACCCGTCGCTTCTTCCAGGTGATAGCTGTGATATCAATACTCTTTATTGTGCTTTCGACGATCGCACTAACTCTCAACACCATTCCTAGTATGCAAGTGAAAGATGAGGGGAACATTCAAGACAATCCGCAGCTCGCTATGGTGGAGGCCGTGTGCATCACGTGGTTCACCCTCGAGTACATGTTTAGGTTCAGTGCCTCGCCGGACAAGTGGAAGTTCTTCAAGGGCGGTCTTAACGTGATCGATCTGTTGGCGATATTGCCGTACTTCGTATCGCTGTTCCTGGTCGAGACGAACAAGAACGCGACCGACCAGTTCCAGGACGTGCGCAGGGTAGTGCAGATCTTTCGTATAATGCGGATCCTGAGGATCCTGAAGCTGGCCCGCCACTCGACCGGGCTGCAGAGCCTCGGCTTCACTCTACGTAATTCGTACAAGGAGCTGGGCCTGCTGATGCTCTTCCTGGCGATGGGTGTCCTCATATTCTCGAGCCTCGCCTACTTCGCCGAGAAGGACGAGCCCGGGACCAAATTCATAAGCATTCCAGAGACCTTCTGGTGGGCGGGCATCACTATGACCACCGTCGGATACGGCGACATCTACCCCACGACCCCGCTCGGCAAGGTGATCGGCAGTGTGTGTTGTATATGTGGTGTCCTGGTAATCGCGTTGCCCATTCCCATTATCGTCAACAACTTCGCCGAATTCTACAAGAATCAGATGAGACGGGAGAAGGCCCTTAAGAGGCGGGAGGCCCTCGAGAGGGCCAAGCGGGAGGGCAGCATCGTCTCCTTTCATCACGTCAACCTGAGGGATGCCTTCGCCAAGAGCATGGATCTCATCGACGTCATCGTCGACACCGGTAAGCGACGGACCACGCGGAAGGATACGGTCTACGCGAGATACGAGAGATACCATCGTCAACCCCGGTGACCGACCGTCACGATCCTCTCTCTCTCTCTCTCTCTCTCTCTCTCTTTACTCGCGTCCTCCCTATCGTCGTGAGTCGCGATGTCGCGGCGGTGAGACCGGATTTCAAGCTTCCGCGTCATCCAGTATAGACGGACCGAGTCCGTATTCGTGTACGCTCTGACGCGGCGCAAAGCCGCGGATCCGAACGCGCGCCGTTCGTGCCTCGAAGCAACTCTTGTTCGAGAGTAATCGAGAGAGACTCGTCAGATGTTCCGCTTTTGCGTCACCCGCCGATTGATTTTCTCGGAGCCGGCCGATGTTGACATTCACTTCGCGCGCGCGCCTCGTGTAATATTTGCTTACGAATTAGCGGTCGAGTGTACCATGACTATACCGGTATACCGCTGCAAGCAATCGCGCACTCCCGAGGTACACATTCCCGGTCAGTCTCGCGCATCATCTCGAGCTCGTTCGAGCCGGCAAGCTCGAAGGGCGACTCGCCCCTCGAGGCCGCGACGACAGCGACCTTCCGTAAGCGACGGACCTCTTTCCAGGTCACAACATATCCGGGGTTGACGGTAACAGCACCGAGGGGGATTCCGCGTGCGGCCGAGGTGGGGGGCCCACGAACACCGGGACCGGTTGTTACCGCAATTACGAGCATTACGGCAACCTGCGGCATCGACGCAGCGCGTCGAACGCCTGCTTCTCGAATCTGCCCATCGAACTGCCCACCACGCCCGACAGCCCGAACCGCCGGCTCCTCGACTTCGCGCAGAGCGTGCCGGGCACCCAAAACGACGATTACTACCAGGACGAGGTGCCGGCCCAGCACGCCAACCAGGGCAACACGACACCCAACGTAAGTCCAAGAATATGTCTGCACATAGTATCGCGCGGATCATGGACGGTTGTTTGTTATCGGCGCGTACACACAGGCTGATCCATGCGACGATGACGCCGCCGGTGATCCCTTCGAGAATCGACGGCGAAATAAAGCAATCGCGAGTAAAAGTCGGGGACAACGGAAAACGAAATCGACGGTCACTCATCGAAAGCGGCACGGAGAAAAGTTTTTTCGTTGGCGGCAGATTTCTTGTTACTATAGTGAGAGCAAAAAGATTTGTGATAAGAGTGCACAGAAAGGAAGTAGTTTTAAATTAATGATAGATATTCTCATATATAAGGGAGACTATTGTGATATTCTTGGAAGATTTTTAGTTTTCAATTGAGCGCAAGTAATATTTGTATGAATATAAATTCGATCAAATCAAGATTCAATATCTTCTAAGATTATAATATTATTGTTTACATATGAGAATGTTTACTCTTGATCCAACAGTGATTTTTTTTTCTGTATATTAATTATTAATTGTGCCAATTAAATTGTATCGCAACGACGTTTCGCTACAACGGCGAAAGTAATATTTTTTCCGTGTGACAAATCTCTTTGCCGTCGCTATAGTAACAATTTGCTGTGCCGGCAAAAAAATTTTCTCCGTGGGAGAACTCGACGTTCTCCTCGGGAAAAATTTTGCTTTCAAATCTTGACGTCTAAATTGATGGAAAATATCTCGTCGATACAATACAGTGCGATATCTGTCTGATGTAATTTCGAAGTTGACACGTGATTTTTGATAGAAGCAAAAATTAACGCGCGAGCTGTTTCCTTTTCTCGCGCGGATACGAGAAAATATTCGAATATAATGCGAAATATTCCAGTGAAGAATATCGAGTATCGAGTTTTTCGTGAGAAAAACAACACGTCTTCCTCGTTATCGCGCTGTTACGAAAACCGACATTCTTCTGGGTAACGAACGGCGCGGCGTCAGAAACCCGAATGAATCACCCTACTGTACGTGTGTGCGTAGAGACTAACACGATTGCACTGGATGCACGATCGCCCAAGTAGTTACGATCCGTGTTTGGTCGGACGCGCCGTTAGTCGCCGCTTTTTCTACCTCTCAATTGCTAACGTAGCTTTTCCAACAAAAACACGATGTTCTCTCTCTTTCTCTCTTTCTTTTTCACTCTGAGTCGATGTATTCTGTATGTAAATTTTGTAAATTCAAGTTATAAGTCCGAAAAAACAAGATATATATTTAAGAATAAATTATTTATCTTAAAATAATGGCGAGATTTTTATTATAGTCGAAATAGACTTTCGATAATGTGAACGTTTCACAATTTATTTTCCATATTAACTGATAATTACGTTCACTTGTTCCAATTAATTGCGGTTTAATTAATTTAATTATATTTCCGAGCGCATCCATTGCAGTCGTAGTAATCGATATTGGTTCGAGCTCGTCGAAATCGTGTCACTGTGGAATGTCCTTTTCTTTCTCTCTTTCTTTTCTATCCTTTAAAACGCTAATCCCCTCACGCAAAAATAAAACGATGAGGTTGAACGCGTTCAATGTGGGCAACAAATTCTTCTTTTTAAGTGTATACAAAGGAAGCACGTCGAGTACACACCCAGCTTCCCCCCTTCTCTCTCCTCCCACATCCTGAGCATCGACGCGATCATGGTTCGGCGCTAATTGTTGACGCGACTAATGGATTGATTAATGAATTTCTCGTCAACGAGTGTTTCGCAAGCGCGCGCGCGGTTGAATCGCATCGGCTAATTGTGATTGATGAGAATCGGCAACTTTGATGGAAACGACCGAAATTTAAAATACACGAACCAACTTGAAAGAAGCTAGAAGTCCGACTTTCATCCGTCAAAGTTGGTTAGCGCGATAACCTAATAATACCTCGTATCACGCGAAGATAATTAATCTGCCAAACTATCTTCCATTCATTGCGAAACTTACCGGCCTGAAGTTTTTTCGCGAAGTCATTTGCATGAAACGTCATGTATATGTACCCGCTATCGCGATTTTAATATTCATGAAAAGGAAACGATAAATTTTTCCACGACGATTGTCCGCACGCTTCTCCATCTGTGTTTGGCTCGCATCGGCCTTTTCGCGTATGTTTTTTCTTTTTTTTTATAACCGATGCGTTATGTTACGAGTTGTCGCAATTTTTCCGTTGGCACTTTCAGACAATCGTCACTGTTACATTAATAACGTTTCTTTTTGATCATAACATGACTCTAAATGTATGAATATACGCTGAGAAAAAGATTTCTTCGAATTTAATAAATTTTACTGCATCCAAAGAAATTTCATCACTGGCATGCTCCAAAGAAATTAATGTTTCGATTAATAAGTACGATTGTTAGACTCTTCAACGAATATGTATCTTTATCTTAAATAAAAAATTTGCTCGAAATGAAAGATAATTTTCTTACAAAGAAATGATTTGTTTCATCTTACATATTCATTGTAACCAAACAATATTTTGTTTGATTAAAAGATATTATTTCAAATAACAGCGTTCTTCCTGTTAAATAATAGAGTTTTCTTGAATGAGGCAATCAAATTTTTACTCGAACAAATAATATTTCGTATAAGTATATGTTGTTTCTATAAAACATTCTAGTCAATTAAATAGAAATACTTAAATCTAAAGAAATCTTTTTCTTTGTGCAGCAGAAAATTTCTCTACACGTGTCGAACGATATTATTAATTCCTAGCATAATCCACTTAGAGAAGAATTTCCTTAAATTTCGCAAAGCATTCTGCGACATCGAGTTTAAAAGGATCGAATACTTGTCTGAACAACTGTCGGATAATAATAAACGTCGACCACGATCGATAGCTCGTTCGATGTACCCTATGATTAGTATGTTTCCGCTAAGTAGCCTTGAACAACGTATGAAATGGCGCTTACCCTACAATCTTCTGTGCTGTGCTATAGAATGGCGATTCCCAACGAAATGTCTCGCGAGTCTCGGAGGATTTAAACAACGGTGTGAATAAAAATCGCATTCTCGCGCTCTCGCGGGAACGGAACGGTGGAAGCGTGGAGATTTACAACGCGCATGTTTCTTTTCTCCCTCGAACAGCACGGGACAATTTTACGAATTCACACGGACAACCGTGTTAAAAGTGTCGCGATGACGAGGGGAGGAGCATTAATGAATCGAGGGGAGAAAAAAACCGGTTGGGAATCGTTGCCGCAAAGCCACGCGCTCGACGTGCGACTTTTTTTTTAATACATACGCTTCTGTTTCCACCCCGATTCCAATTATCGATCGGGCCGTGCCAATTGTGTGCAATTTCCTCTTTCGTAACCGGTGAAACCCACGCCGGCTTACTCTCGACTCCGCAAGTCTGGTGCACGATTTCCGCGAGACGAGTGAATATTAATTCGTTCAGAATGGCGCTGGACGAAGTTATTCGTCGTGTGTGTTTCCCCGCTTATTTCGTTATTCTCGCACTAACGCTCCTCTTATGACCCTGCCGGAAAAAGTGTCTCTCGGCGGAATGGAAATATAATAGCGTATATGCTCGCGCATAGAGAGAGAGAAAGAGAGAAGACAATTCTACAGTATAATCGTAACCGTCATCACGACGTTGTTGAATCTTCTCACTCTTCGCTCTTATCTGTAATTGCGCGGTATTTCTCGTGATCGGTCATTTTTATCGCCCTGGAAAAGCAATCCCGCATTCTGAGACGATAATAATATCCAGCGAGAAAATAAATGGACACGTCCACGTTGGCCGTATGTCGCAGGAAATTTGCGTTATCGGTTCAACACGTCCGTGTTGCACGGACGTTTGCATGATTCTCTCGCTCAACCTCTATGCGACACATATCGCCAAATTGAAAAAGAAAAATAAAGAGTTACAATCTGTCGCAAGGCAGAAACGCAACGTGAAGATATGTACCTGTCCCCGACGGACAAACCTTATCGATCGTAAGTCCTGCGTTCGTTGTGACGTATGAGGTGGTGTGTCCACATATTTGTAATCACTTAAACACCCTCGTCGACTTCCTCTCGCGCTTATTTTTCCTCGATCGACGTGCGAGTAATAAAAACTTTCCAAAGTGCCGTCGCGTAGACATTTTGCGAACCTGCCGCCGCCGTTTTATCTCAGACTTTTACGACGTTGTTCTAATGGAAAAATGGGTTTTCATGTGTATGTACAGGGTGTCCGAAATCTTTCGTCGTATCCGTATTGTGTAAGTAGAACCGTGAAACTGAACGGAAAATGTGCTATTTTGCATAATTCGCAATAGTTAATGAGAAGTCAATTAATCTTTCTGAGCTAATGAGCGTACGAGAATTGGTAGGTATTTCGCATAAAGAAAAATGGCTTACTTTTGAAGTTCTTCACAGAGAAAAAGGTTTCTTTAGTATTTCTATTTATTTGACTAAAATTGGTTTCATAGAAACAACATATACGAAATATTATTTGAGTAAAAATGTTATTATCTCATTCGAGAAAACTCTATTATTTAACAGAAAGAAGGCTGTTAATTGAAATTATATCTTTTAACTAAATAACATATTATTTCATTACAATTACAAAATTTGTAAAATGAAATAATTTCTTTATAAGAAAATTATCTTTCGTTTCGATCAATTTTTTATTTGAGATAAAGATACATATTTGTTGAAAAGTCTGACAATCGTACTTATTAATCGAAACATTAGTTCCTTTCGAGCGTGCCAAATGATGAAATTTGTTTGGATGCAATGAAATTTATGAAATTTGAAGAAATCTTTTTCTCAGTGTAGCAACAATGGGCATCAGCTAGTAGCAAGAAGTGTCCTTTTGACATTCGTTGTTCGCTTCGTTATTTCGCCTCTGGATGCTCATCATTGCTGGGAGATTTTCAGAAGTAAGCCGCTTTCCTTTATACAGATTCTGGCTTACCGCTTCCCGTGCGCTCATCAGCTCGAATTAATTAATTCCTCACTAACTATTGCGAGTTTTGCAAAATGGTGCATGACTTCTCCG